GTTTGAGGTCTTTGCGCCCAACTTCGTCGTCGCCAAGAGCCGCTTCTGGCGCATGATGCGGAGCAAGAACAAGGTGAAGTCGACCCACGGCGACGTGCTCTCCTGCAAGGTGGTGAAGGACCGCAAGCTGGCGGCGCGCAACTACAGCGTCGACATCGCGTACTACAGCCAGCGTTGCGGCTACACGCACATGGTGAAGGAGTTCCGCGACGTCTGCAAGGCGGGGGCGGTGAGCCAGGCCTACCACGACCTCGCCTCCCGCCACCGGGCGCGGTACAGCAACATTGAGGTGCTCGGCGTGAAGAGCATCCCGAACCACCAGGTGAAGCGGCTCAGCATCGCGGAGTACCACGCCAGCAACCTGTCCTTCCCGCTCCTGCACCGCCGCGTCAAGGCCCCGCGCAAGGACCGCGTCGTCTTCGTCAAGAAGAACACGAAACGCGCCGTCGTTGCGTAGTCCACGGCTATCCTCCTCTGCGCAGCATTACATTTTTTTCCTACTGGTGCTGCGGCCCTTTTATTTGCTTCGTAAAAAAAAAAATACAACTAATGAACGGCCTTGTTGCCCCTGTTTTTATTCTTGTATATTTGCCGTGTGCTCCATCTGCTCCTTCTTTGGCCGCCGCCGCCGCCGCCGACTTCGGAAGTAAATTGCCGCATGCACGCGCTCGCTCGCTCGCTTTCTCCTTCTTCACACAGTCTTTACCCGTTAGCATTCTTAGACGCCGCCGTTGGGCTCGAGTGTAACCGAAATAAATAACGCACAACGCTACAAAAAAAAAGGATAAGAAGGGTGAAAGGCATCGTAAAATTAACGTAAAAGCGAAGGCTGTCATCTGAAGTTAAGGTGGGATCCCACACAAGCGTAGGCGGCGAGGCAGAGAGAAAGAGAGAGGGGGAAGAAAGCAGGAAGAGAGTTTCTGTGGGTCGGGTGCTTCTTACACTTTTAAATTTGCGTCAACTAGAAGGGGGAAAAAAAAACGATTATTAATTGCGGTGAGTCTCGTCCACGGTTCTTTGCTGGCGTGTGTGCCTGTGTTTCTTTTTAAAGTTCCCCTTCAGTTGCGGTGCTTGCCAGAACACGTTGGGCACTGTGTCCCGCTTGGCGTCCCCCGTTTGCTTCGGCGCGTTGTGCTTGTTTTCCGATTGCCCACGGCCGCCGCGGCACAATGTCCTTGGGAAAGGTATGCATTTATGCTGATGATCCGGGCAACGCCTATCCGCTCTACGCCACCACACCGGTCCCGCCGAAGAAACCCGGGACCGTGCGCATTTGGGTTGACGGCTGCTTTGACATGCTGCACTTTGGACACGCCAATGCGCTTCGCCAGGCGGCAGCCCTCGGCGACGAGTTGTTCGTCGGCTGCCACTCGGACGCGGAGATAACCCACTACAAGGGACCCCCGATTATGCGGGAGGAAGAGCGTTACGAGGCGCTGCGTGCGTGCAAGTGGGTCGACTTCGTGGTGGAGGGGTATCCGTATGTGACGCGGCTTGCGGACATGGACCGCCTAGAGGTTGACTACGTTGTACACGGCGATGATATTTCTGTGGACCTTAACGGTCGTAATTCGTATCAAGAGATCATCGATGCCGGACGCTTCAAAGTTGTAAAGAGAACAGAGTGTATCTCCACCACGGATATTGTGGGGCGAATGCTGCTTTGCAATCCCTGTGGCCTATTGACAGCGGCGGAGAAGAAGCTGCTGGAAGATGAGGCAGCGAAGCATGTTGGCTTTCGTTACTTAACGACATCGCGAAAAATTGCTCAGTTTAGTAACAATCGTTCTCCAAAACCCGGCGATCGTATCGTCTACGTGGATGGAAGCTTCGATTTGTTTCATTATGGCCATATCCGTGTCTTGCAAAGAGCACGTGAACTAGGCGACTACCTTATTGCCGGCATCCAAGACGATGGTGTCATTCGCAAGGCAAAGGGAAAAAATTTTCCAATTATGAGCCTTAACGAGCGCGTTCTTGGCGTGCTGGCGTGCAGGTACGTGGATGAGGTTGTTCTTGGTGCCCCCTACGAGGTGACGCGCGCAGTCATTGACAGCCTCGGCATCACCGCCGTTGTTGGGGGCAAGACGTGCGACGCGTACGAGTACGGGGATGGACGCGACGCCTATGCGGTGCCCAAAGAGTTGGGGTGCTTTCATGAGGTGGATTCCGGTTGCGACCTCACCACTCACGCCATCATTGAGCGTGTTGTCCAAAATCAAGTGACTTTTCTCAAACGACAGGCCGCAAAGCGGCTGAAGGATGCCACGGCCGCTAAAGATCAACTGGGGCTGTACAAAAATGTGAGAGAGGTGTAGCGAGGCGAGAAGCGGGGAGCCGAGGGATGCCGCCGGTGGAGGGGGAACTAGCAGAATTGGACGCAATGCGCTTTTATTGCGGCCTTTTTTTTCTTGCGTGCCATTGTTTTCTTTTATTTGTGTGTGTCTCTGTGATGGGACGAGTACCTTCACACGGGAGGGAAGACTTCTGACTCACACACAAAAACGCTTGAAAGCTGCTTCCGCACCAAACACAGACGCACACACACACACACACACACACACACAACAGAAAACGATAAATGTCTTCACTGCTTCGCTAACTTATGATTCCTGCATTATCGTGTTTAATTACAAGACGTTAGAGGTTGATGTGACGTCAGAAACGCCCAAACGTACACCCAAAGATGGAGGGATGTGAATGTTTGTGTGCCTTTTTTCCTCATCACTCAGGGCTCCGCAAGGGAGAGGATGAGCGGGAAGAGGAGTTCTGTTTCTTTCGTTATGCTTATATATATTTTTATATACATTTTGTTTTCGTACTTGTATGCATGTAATTGCTTTCTTGACTTTTCTTTTCCTTCCGGACGGAGACAGCGAAGAGCGGCCATTGAGCTGCTTCATTCAAGCTTTGCCCGCTTTTCACTTTTGTCGTCTCCCTGCCTCCTCTACTTCGTTCCGATCCCTCTTTTTGGTAACTTGCTTCTGCCAAAACATCTGGATTCTGCGTCTGCGTGCCACAATCACTAATGCTGTGCACACCTCATCAGCTCGCAGCGAGGAAGTGTATCTCATGTCGGGGGCGCGGATTCTTCCCTACGTGGACACGGCGCCGTGCCAACGGAACGTGATTCAGGCGCGTGCCATGGTGCGCCACGAGGCGGAGTACAATCTAGGGGGAAAAACTGCGTACGAAGAGAAGCGTCGCGCCTTGCTAGAGCTCCAGCGGAAAAACATGGACGAATATAACAAATTTAGGGATGATATAAGTGTGGCTCGCAGGGAGCTTTTTCTCGCTTTAGCCTCCCAGAACTCAAATCCATCCCTTAGGAAACGGCGGCGGTCTCCAGACACTATGGTGGAGTGTGAGGTGCTTCGTTTTGAGGGGCTTCTCACGGAGTCTTTGGGGCTGGAGTTGCGCCTGCAGTGTGGAGAAGGCCAAGCCAAAGAGTGCGCAGACGCAGCGGTGGTGCTAGAGGCATTGCAGTGCACACAGGAGGCGCTGCACGCCACGAGGCGCCGCACAGAGGAGATCAACGCGCTGCGTTGCGTGGAGCAGCAGCAATTTGCAAAGCTGCTGGCCGTAAAGGAGCGAGTGGCACGCGGACGCCTGGATAAAACTCGTGCACTTGAAAAAATTCTGCGGGAAACTGAGAGAACTCGTCATCGCTCAACGCTGCTGAATTCTCTGGAATGAGGCTTGCCTCTTTGTGGAATGGTCTAATAAAAGCATGCTTCTATTGCCTCCGGTTCCTTTTCGGCAACTTACAGGAGGGGATTGTCAGATGTTTTTTTTTTTTCGTCTTAGCTCCAACCTTCCACAGGATTGCTATTCGCACAGCTTCCTCCCTCGAGAAGCGTGCGGAACGCGTGTTTGACCAACTGGAGCGAATGCGATAAAGCTGCGTTGGAAGGCGGCACAGGTGCAGTTGCGTCCTTCCACCGCGGGTGTCTGTCTCGCGAAGGGAGGGGGTCGGGCGGGAGCCAGCGACCGCCACTTTGTGAATTCACAATGAGAGCCCGGTTACCAACGAGTAATTTGTGCTTTCCTGTGTTTGCGGGTGGGCGAGTGTGTGGGGTAATTTTTTCTCTCAATTTTGGCGATGCTGGGCACACCCTGGGGCAAACTGTCACCTCCCATTTCTCCCTCTTCTCATTGTAGGATTATTGGGCAAGTTCTCGGCCAGGGGGCGATATATATATATACGGTTCGCCTCGTATATATATTTTTTTGGCCTTTATTGGCCTTTTATACACCCTGGTCACCCAAGCGACCGCAGCCTTGGGCGCTGCGGCGAAGCCCCCGCCCTCGCTACTCCCCACACCTTTCCGAATAGTTTAGACTTGGAAGTGAGCATGGACTCGCACGCCGTTGCTCCCCATGAGGACCATGAAATCGTGTTGCCTTCAGGCGACAAATTCCACGTCGTTGTTTTTGGCGGCATCGACGAGGAGTATACTCGGCGGGGGGAAACACCACCTCCTCTGCTGTTCTGTGTACACGGCGCCGGCATGAGTTGTGCTAGTTATTTTCTACTTTCCACTCATCTGATGCATCCGCAGTACGCTGAAAAGGGTGGTGTCGAGCTGAATCCTAAAGAATCCGCAGACATTGTTCGTGTGGTGGCATATGATATGCGTTGCCACGGAGACTCCACCTTCAACGGAGGTGAGGGGAGTCTCACCTTGCAATTGCTTATGGACGACTTTTTTGCCGTCATACGCACTGTGAAGAGCACCCTCTTCCCCGATACTCCCCGCCTCTACGTTGTGGGCCACTCACTGGGTGGTTCGGTGGCAATGAATGCCCTGAGTAGGTTCAAGGAACTGATGAACATGGTGGCGGGCGTAGTGCTGCTTGATGTGGTGGAGGGCACCGCGAGGATGTCGTTACGGCACATGGACAAGTTTCTTCAGAACCGTCCGCAACAATTCTCCGATGTGGCGGAGGCACAAAGATGGTTCTTGCAAAGTGGCGGCATGACAACGGCTTCAGGAGCGGCAGTAACCGTGCCCCCACTCCTGAAACGTGTGGGCGACCATTACGAGTGGAAGTCGAACCTGGAGGCCATGGCGCCTGTATGGTCTGGGTGGTTTAACGGGCTGGACGACGCTTTTGTTGGACTGCCCTGCCCGAAGATTCTTTGCCTCGCCAATGCCGAGCGCCTTGACGATGCCCTTACCGTTGCCCAGATGCAAGGGAAATTCCAGTTTGAGGTTCTCGGCGGCGGGTGTGGGCATTACGTCATGGACGACCAGCCGGCTGCTCTCGCCTCGAAGCTGCGCCGCTTCATCAAGCGGATTGAGACTATGTCGGAGAAACTACGATTCAATCTGCGGAAGGAAATCGTAGCAAGTTGAAATAGACGGGGGAGTGCGTGTGTGTGTGTGTGTGTGTTGCCGCTCCTTATTAAGGTAGCTGGGATGCTTAGTTTGCGGGTGTGCAGGTAGAAGGAAGTTGGGGAGCAACTTTTCTGTGGACTGCGCACACTTATTGCGGCAACGCCCTTTATATATTATTGTTTTTGTTGTTTCCTCCATTGCGTGGCCACTTTTTTTTGTGTTGCGTTTTTTCTTTATTCTTTGTTGGGTGTCGCTCGGCCACCTACGCACTCACCTTTTTCTTCTTGCTTCTATACAAAAAAAGCGTGTTTGTGTGTGGCTGCGTGCGCGCCCCGAACCCCCAGCGGTAGAGGCAGGGGAGGGAGCGAAGAAAAATGCCACGTGAGGGGGCAAGCGGTTTGTGGCGCTCGGAGGACATGATTCGCCTTGACGTCATCACCCAGCGGGAGGTTCTGTACGACACTGTGGTCTGCGTTGGGCTGCTTGGAAAGGCGCAGTTTGTGGATGTGAACGGCGGCGGGGCCGCCTTTACGCGGCCATACACGGCCGAAATTCGTAGATACGATGAGCTGGAGCGAAAGCTCTCTATAATCAACGTGGAGCTGGAGGGGGAGACGGACCTGAGCATGCAGGGTCCCCCCGCATTGGGTACCCCCGACCATTTAAGAAGACTTCTCTGCGGCACCGTGCTTGAGGAGGAGGAGAAGGTGGATGCCTTGCTGGAAGACCTAAAGACGGTGAATGCCTCGCTTCAGGACCTGCGACGTGAGATGAACTTCCGCCTGGAATTGTCTCTGCTGCACACGCGGCTGCAGGATCTCTTGCCATCTCACCTCTCGCAACCTTCCGATGCGCTCCTCCAGGCACCGCACTTGCTAGGGATGGTGGATGCAGCCCGAGCGGAGGTTATTTACGCAATGACGTACCGCGCAACCAAAGGCAACGCCCTCGTCGAGCTGGATAACAAGCATGCAATGCTCCTTGATCCATTGACTGGCGAGCGATGTGTTGCCAAAATCCCCTTCGCGGTATTTACCTCCTCGCCTGCGGTACTTAAGCGGGTGGAGCGTCTCATTCTCAGTCTTGGGGCGACCATTCACACCCTGAGAGAGGTCTCGGAGGCCAGGACGGAAGAACATGAACATGAAATGGGAGAGCTGCAACACATGTATGAGCGGATGCAGCTGCGCAAATCGGAGCTGCTTCAGAAGCATGCTCTCATGCATTCTACTTTTCTTCGGGTTGTTCAAATGAAGAAGCATATTTTCTTAACCATGAATTTGTGTGTTGTGCGTGGTTCGACATGTACTGCCTCTGTATGGATTCCAAGAAGGCATGAAGAGGCCCTTCGCACGGCTATAAGGGAAGCCGTGCATACGGCTGCAGGCAATGTGGCTTCCGTGGTTGCACCTCACCCTTCACAAAGTAATCCGCCTACTTTTTTTGAAACCAACAAATTCACGCGCGTTTTCCAGAGCATTGTGGATAGTTATGGTACAGCACGATACAAGGAAGTAAATCCAGGTGTTTTTACCATTGTAACCTTCCCGTACTTATTCGGCATTATGTATGGTGATATTGGTCACGGCATACTATTGCTCCTTTTTGCCCTTTACTTTGTCTTGATGGAAACCCGTTGGAGCCACTGCCACTTGAATGAAATGCTTGCCATGCTTTTTGGTGGGCGCTATCTTTTACTGCTGATGGGACTCTTCTCGATTTACATGGGGGCTCTCTACAATGACTTCTTTGGGTTCTCGGTGGGTTTTTTTTCTAGCGCCTATGCGTGGCCCCCGATTGGCGACCAAAAGGGGACCGTTCACCCACTCGGTGGGAACAATCGGACGGGTGTTTACCCAGTGGGACTTGACGTTGCGTGGACAGAGACAGAGAACAAGTTGGAATTTTATAACTCCGTCAAAATGAAGTGTGCAGTCATTGTTGGGGTGGTTCAGATGCTCACAGGAAACGTGCTCTCGCTTCTTAACCACATACACAACCGTGACCTTCCCAAGATTTTTTTCCTCTTCATCCCTGAGTTGCTGTTCCTGCTTTGCACTTTCGGTTACATGTCGCTTCTTATTGTGATAAAGTGGTGTGTCAGTTGGGAGAACACAAGTGAGGCGCCAAGTATCCTGGAAACCATGACGAACTTCTTCTTGCAGCCTGGCACTGTGACGCAGCCCCTTTATAAGGGACAGAGTTTGGTTCAGGTCATACTACTACTTACCGCCTTTGCCATGGTTCCTGCTATGTTAATTATGATGCCTCTCCTCGAGGCCCGTAAACACCGAGGGGCGTCTCGGGGGTATTGTTTATTTACGGACAATCTTTCATTACCGGTAATAAGCAGGGATACGTCATCTGTGGATGGGGAACAAACCGTTACTGTTTCTGTAGAGCATCGGAATGATCCCTCTTCAGTTGTTCTAGAAGGTGTGTGGAGAGCTCATTCAGATGCAGTTGCAGACCGGGATCGCGTTGAGGACACATCTGCTTGGCATGTTCCGCACTCTACTGCTGACGCACCTTCTCATGCTGCTGCTGCTGGTGATGTGGAGACGGGTCATCCTTTTGACCTCTCCGAGGTTATTATTCATTATATGATACACACTATCGAGTATGTTCTTGGTTGTGTCTCGAATACGGCATCGTATCTTCGTCTATGGGCCCTTTCGTTGGCGCACGCCCAGTTGTCTGAGGTCTTTTTCACCTTTGCGGTGGTAAAGACGCTTGCCGTGGACACAACAGGTGTTCTCATTGCCGCAGGCGTCGCTGTCTGGCTGGGGGTGACGCTGGCGGTGCTTGTAGGCATGGAGGCCCTTTCTGCCTTCCTGCATGCGCTCCGTTTACATTGGGTAGAGTTCAACAACAAGTTTTACGTCGGTGATGGCGTGAGTTACGAACCATTTGAGCTGCTTGGCTCTGTGGACTAGTAGCTGCGACTAGATATTCTCGTTGTTTTATGACATCTGTTGCAGCGTGAAGGTCCAGTTTTTTTTTTGTTGTGTGTGTTTTTTTTGTCGCCTTTCCTTCTTTGTGTGTTCCTATCTATCTCTGAGTTCTGACGCAGAGAAGTTGCCTCTGCGCTCTACACGGCGTTAGCGGCTCGTCTACGACGTACAAGTATCGGGCGGTTATGTACTGTGGTGTGTGTGTGTGTGCCCCGCACCGCCGGCCAGTGACCGGCGCCAAAGGAAGTAACGATGAAGTGACTTTTTTATGTGATGTATATGTATAATATATACGTGTGTGTGTCTGTGCTCTTCCTTGCATTATTTTCTTTTTACTCCTTCTTGTGCGCGCGAAGTTTAATGGTTAACACTGCAAGGAACACTAAGATGCACCAGCTGGAGGACGATGAGGGCAATAATACTTTCTTTCAGATCCCCAGCTTCTTGGGTCCGGAGGGCGCAAGAGACGCGGGTACAAACACCTCCGACATGCCCTCTTACCAGTACAGCGAGATGTCTATCGTGCCGGGGGTGACCACCGCCCAGTTGCTGAGGTCCCACCGATGGACCCTGTCACACATGCACCCCCACTCCCACAAGGACTGCGACGGGGAACTTTACAGCCTCACCCTCAGCCGCCGTCACCTGCTGATCCCGAAGGAGTACGAAAGCATGGTTATTGACGGCGTCCTGGCGTCGCTTGAAGGCTACACTTTTGGTGTTGCTGAGAATGCTGAACAGACAAAAAGACACTGACGCGCTTTCTACAAAATAGTTCTTTGTGTTGGTTTCCGTTTTTTTTTTTTTTTTNTTTTT